GTCATTTCCAACGCTAATCTATTTAAATATGCTAACAAGATACTTTCAATACTTGGAATACTATTATAAAGATACTCAAATCTATATCAAAATGCAAATTGTATTATATACAAAGATAAGGAAAAAGAAAATCAAGATTATCTAGCATGTTACAAAAAACAGAAAATTAATTAGAAGAATGCTAAAAACTTTGTAACAAACTTAGCTTGAGCAGCTCTTCTAGAAGAAACCAAAAGAAGAACTCACAAAAAATTTTTAGAAAAACACTTTGAGAAAAATCAAGAGAAGAATCCTTCAAAGCAAGATTTAGAGCAATCAAAGAATTAGTTTAAGAAAAAATAGTAGAAAAGATACAAAAATTTTTACAGTTGAGTAGAGAAGCCAAAACATATATCGAACTTGCTCTAAACACAATATAGAATTGCTTTCACAAGAATATTTAGAAAAGAAATACGAACTTTTGTGTAGTTGAAAAATTAACCAAGATATTTTAGACAGTAACAAATAAAGAATCAAACCACTATTAGGAGAAAAGAAATTATTACTAGAAGTTGTCAATTCAAGATCCAAAAGAAGGAGTTTAAAGAAGGATAGTATTTTAAATAAAATAGATAAAAAACAAAAGAAAAAAAAAAAGTGTTTAAAAAATATAGAAAATCATTGGTTTAGTAGTTTTAAAATTTTAATTCAAAATAGCTACAGGTTCTAATAGTATAACTTGCATAGCTAACCTGATATTAGCCTTCTGGCCACAAAAAAATACTTCAAACCAGTATGACAGACCACTTCTGGGCATTTATGAGGTAGCCAGATAATATCAAACCTAAATATTAAGCTCAATATTATGTAATATATTTATATAATAATCTTAATAAAGGATTACTAACAAAATTAAAAAAAAATTTATCTTTTTTTATAGCACCTAGCCTATATAGTCCCATCCCCTGCTTTTGCTGTGGGCATTTCCATACCTAAGTTTGGTATTAAGAATATGATACTACAAAGATAAACAAGTAGAAATATATATAATTATTTAAAACTACAAATATGAGAATGTGACTAAATTGATTTCTTTTAATAGATTGGACTAGAAGCTTGATAAGGTTTTTTTAAAGCCAAATTAGAAAATATCTGGTTTCGCTTAACGACAGCTTTTTTATATCTATGTGTAAGTATATATGTTTACAAATAAATTTTATAGGGTTAAAGTCATCCGATATTATATTATATAATACAAAATTCTATAGATTGGTTAGAGGTTAGGGTAGATGAATTTTACGATATTATATAAATTTATATTATATCAGGTGACTTTAACCATGGTGAAAATAGAATTTCCTAATTTAATACTGTATTTGAACTTTCCTGATCACATATTTGCCTTGTTGCACATGTTAGTATAAATTTGATCAACAAATTCTTCGCTAATAACTTTGACAATCTAAAATTATCAATTAATTATCCAATTTAAATGTAATAAGATTCAATATTTACAATGATAAAATAAAATCTTTAAATAATTCAAATAAATAAATAAAATCTTGGATTATTTATTTCTCGTTAATAATTTGCTAATCCAGCGATTACATAATATATCTGATATATATGTACGTACGTACGTACTTAATTTGGTGGCGATGTTAGAAGGTCAATTAGTCAGCAAGAACGATCCTCAATCCCGTGATTTCCAAGCAAATTATTTCCATAGATCTTGGGGACTTGTAGAATCTGGAATCGAAGGTTTAACACAAGATTGCGATCACAAGAATCTAAAATCTCCAATAACTAATAGCCTATGAAATTTTAATTTACTTTGGAAATTACGGGAATGAGAAGCATTTCTGTCACAACTAATCTACCTTGATATTATGTGGGTTAGAATTCTGATTTTCGTATCGAGTATGAACTTGGGCTATTACGGATTTTGACGGACATTTCGGAAATTTGAATGCCGGGCGAAACTAATATCGCCCTTATCGTTATTGGATTCGAATTTGGCGAAATATTTTGAACATTATCTGTCACTGTCCTTGCTGCCAAGTTGTAATTTAGCCTATGTATCTTTATATAAACATGAATATGAATTACAGTTATCTTTTATGAATAATAGAATAAGTATAATTTAAGTGTTTGAATTCATAAGGATTTACTTTAAATGCTACATACCCTATGTTGAGTAGAAGCAATCAAAATGATGCAAAAAAAAAAAAAAGAGATTTTCAAGCCAAAGTGAACCAATTTTATTAGTAGAACATAACAAACTTAGTCAAAATTTTGAACCAAAATCTGGGATTGCTTTTATTCGGTGGTTGCTTCTAATCGGTCTCTTGTATGCTTATTCGGTAAGTATATGAATTTTTATAAATCCACATGACAAATCGAAATTCATTTCGGAAAATCTATGGAGAGCAAATTCATGTGATTGGTTAGTTAGCAGTTAGGACTTAATAATATCACATGAATTTGCACCGTACCCGCGTTTTCATTTAGATCATTTGACCTATGCTAATGATGATATTTGCCAATATTCACTTTAAAAAGAACTTATTAAAGTCTGTGGCTACGGTAAATGCATTCATTATGCGCTGCATGAAATTGCAAATCATTTCATTCGTATCGATCACGAATATTATTTTTGATCAGATAAAGAAATGATCATCTAAAACTCAAATTTGTTACAAAAGTATCTTTTTTTGAAAATTTACCCAGGATTTGGATAACACTAGCCTAATACACAATAGGATTTTTTATATTATTGCGTATTGCAGCGGTATGTTGAAAAATTTAATAAAACACAGACACTTTAATAAATTATTTATGCAGTTACGATAATACGTATTTATAATAAAAGAAATGAAAATTTTAAACAGTTAAAAAAAATTAATACATCACAGTTTATTAATTTTATTAAATGCTATACTGTAGGTTTAGAAATATAAGTACAAGGTATATAAAATAAGAAAATTGCTAGTCCAGCCAAAATCATTCTTATATTATATCAAAGGCTTTTAATTATAAAATCTTCTACAGTATCAAAGAGTTTCTTGTATCAAAGGTTTCTTATATCGAGAGTCACTTGTATATCCTACATATATACATACAGTATATATAATTATATATAATTATATAATTATATATATATATATATATATATATATAATTATATACAGAAAATTTAGTGGTAATCGATAATGATAATTTTATTGTATTATTAATTATAATATAAATTTATAAATTAATTATAATAAATCACGATATCACGTGTTATTCATATTTTATTCAATAGTGTAATTGGTGTCAAAAGGTTGACACGTGACGATTTAATTTAATACGACACTTATAATGAATACTTATAATGAATAATATATTAAATATATATATGAAATAAGTAAATAGCATGATTGATATTATTGGCACTTTCAGTAATATTAATTGAAAATTTTCAAGTATGGTTTGTTACCTCTGAAATGTTGTATTCCACAAAACGTTAACATTTGGTTAACATTTGATGTGATCATGAGAAAAAAAAAGGATTAAAGCTATCAGTGGGCGTAATGCAATTGGGCTAACAAACTTCAAGAGTTTTTCCTCAGTTAATCTAGAATTAGAATTCTGTTAAAAGATCTGTGAAAAATATGTTCATTGCTCAATTTTAAGAACACATTGATGCAAAATCGTATGGGTCATTACTTATCTATGTACGTAAGATGATATAATAAAGTACAAACGAATCATAAACGCACTTGATTTTCTCACCCCCAGTTCTGTTTAACCATTTGCGTATATATATGCCTCTGCTTACGTTATTTATTTATGCAGAGTCTTTTCTTTTCAAGGTTGAAAAGGATATGCAAGGAACAACCAAACGCGTACCTCAATAAAATTCCTTTTTTTATACAGTTGAAAGTATCCATTTTCAACTTAGCGCGCATTAAAAAAGGTTTAGAATACCATTTTGGAAAGCAATTTATGCAGAATAATCCATGGATCAATTGCAAATCAGGCATTAAGGCGTCGAAAACTTTAGAGATTTTGTTAAGCAGCATTGTAAAACAAAAGAAATCCGATGATATTGATAATATGATATAAAGTTGAATGAATAAAATCGGTGGATGATTTTTGGAAAAAGGTTTTAATGGTTTACCATTCATGAATGAATTTCCTTTATAAGTCTGTAACTTTTTCCGATATTTAATAATATTAATAATATTAATAATATATTAAAACATGTCATTGAGGGTGATTGCTGATATTGATAAGATAAATAAACATTTTCGGTAACGATAATGCAATGTCAATTAATAGTGTCAATTAATAGTGTCAATTAATAGTGTCAATTAATAGTGTCAATTAATAGTGTCAATTAATAGTGTCAATTAATA